CAGGTGCTGGGTTTATTTTGTCCCATTGGGAGTAGTGAAACCTTTTCAGGAATCTTTCTGATATCTCTATGGATGCATATCACAATCTGCTATCTACATCCATCTACATGTATGCATGTACATGTAAGAACTCTCTGGGGGGAGGGGCTTGCCTTGTTAGCAATAACCAGATGTCTCTACCCTTGCCGGTTGTGTTTGGGTAAAAGCAAATTCAAAAGCAAATTCCCAGGGAAGAGTAGAGGATAACTTCAAACTGGCCGGAAGAACTAAAAAGTTCTGAGGCTTTGTTTCAGGATGACATCACTTTCTGAAACCAAGTGACCCCGCCAGAAAGCCACAGCCTCCTTCTAACTCCGCACTCCTGTGGTTTCCCCAACCCCGCGCCTCCTTCCTCCCCTTTCCGTTTCTGTCTTGCCCTCCTGTCCAAAGAACCAAGAGAGACGGTGGGGAGTGGTGGGTGGACGTGTTACAGAGCAGGAAATAAGGGGCACCAGTGAACCCCCAAACCTGCCTGCTCTAAATGGGTTCTGCCATCCGCCACATCAAGACAAAACGCGTAAGATTTTAATGAAAAGGAACTTTAATACAGTGAGTCGACAACACGGAAGACAAAGAATATAACTTCTAAATCAAACGCCTGAAATCACCCATCCCCTCGTGGGCAAAAGTCCACCCAAAAGGGACTGGCCCAAAGCAAGGTCTGAAAGCTGCCACTAGACTAAAGCACCTTCTGGCCGGGACCCATGGAAAAGGGTCAGAAATGGCCAGACGTGTCTGGGAGGAAAAGAGCAACATCAAAATCAATATAAACACTGCCAGAGTCACCTCCCCACGGGTCTGTCACCCACCTGTTTCAACCAGTCCAGGACCAGGAAGTAAACACAGTTTCTTCACATGTCTCTCTTTGCTCCATGTGACTTTCTCAGGTCTCCTTCTGGCTCTCCATCCTGCTTCCTCCTTCTGATTCCTTCTCTTCTCTTCTCTTCTCTTCTCTGCTCAGCTCCACCCTTCTTCTGGATGGGGCAGGGAACCTGGAGCTTCTCCTTTTCCTAGGGACCACCCAGTTATAGAAGCACCGAATATGCAAGCAGAAGTAGCCTAGGGGTCCTCAAAGCAGCAGTTACCCAGGGCCAGAAGCCCTCTCAGATCAGACTTGGGCTGGCTCTTCTCTCCCTTGGGTCACAGCTTGTGCTGTCTGGTGGCAGCTATGTATGTCTGCGGAGCCCAGAGGCCTTTGCTCTCCCTCCCCCCCCCCACCCCACCTCCACCTGAGAACCTATCTCTCTTGCCTGCCTAATTCCTGTGCTGGGTGTTAGCAGCTGGCCTGGGTGCAGGGTTGGTGCCAGGGTGCAGGAGCTGCTGAAGGATGGGAGAGGCAGGGCCTAGGCACCAGAGGCCCTGGCATGGCAGTGCTGCCCACCTGGCTTGGGATAAAGAGAACCCAGTTTAATTTCAGTGCCCGCTGCTTGTGCAGTCCGCTGGCCAGTTCAGGATGGCAGGTGGGCTGCTGTGGTCTTGCAGGAAGCCTTGGGATCTGACGGGGAAAGGGACAGAGAAGGGGGAAAAAAGAGGAAGCAAGCCAGCAAGTGGGAGTGTGGAGAGGAGGGGAAACAGGCTGTGAAATGGCAGAGGGGAGAGCGAAAAAGGGGAAGGATGGGGGCAGAGGAGGAAAGGAGATATTATTAAAGCAAAGGCTAGTCTTGCCAGGCTGCTGGAAGTTGGCCCCGGAGTAAGCTGCAGCGAGCAATCTCTGATTTCTCTTTGCTGTAAAATGAAGCAACAGGTCAGCAGAACCTTTTCTGGCTATACAGCAGGGTTTGGACGAGGCTAGCTGAGGACATGCACATTTTGGTATAACATGGTTCAGGGGGTGCTTTTCTCCTGTTTCAACTTTTTTGTATGTTTCAATTATTTATAATCAAAGTAATACTCTGGATCTTTGGGTCTTGAGTTCATAGTTTAATCTCTGCATGGTCAGCTTTTTATATGTGAAAATCTTACCCATTTTGCTTTCATCTTTTCTTATGCTTAGGGAAAAAGAATCCTCACCTCACAGGCTTGGAAGCACTTATTTGCGGTGGTTGAGGGAGAGGACAAAGGACAGCACATCTGGACCGCGGCAGAAGCTGGTGTGAAGCCTAAGGCTGCCATTGAAGATCTCACCTGCTATTTTACAGTGTTCTCTTCTAGAGAGTTTTCTGGGGCAAGAGAGGCAGAGAGACCTCCGCAGACCAAGCCCAAGGCAGTCACTCCACTTGGTGTCTATTCTCCCAGGTACACTCTCACTCTAGGTTTATCGTGCCTTCACGGGCCCTTCCCGTCCCTTTCCCTGTAATCCTGCCAGCCTGTCCCATCTCCATCTTCTATGGGGGTCAGAGCACACACCTGAATTCTCTGGGGGGTTTGTAGCTGCACTGGGATCCCCTCTCGGCCATGCGCACTGACTCAGAGTCTGTTTCCCATCTGCACAATGTAAAGATGCTCACAGTTACCTATGGGCAACTGGAGTTTTTATTTTTAAGATTTATTTGAATTTATGTATGCATACATGAGCTGGACTGCAGGCCAGACGTGCAGAGGGTTGAGAAGATTCACAAGAGACAGGGTGGGGAGCAGAACAGGCGGATCTACTGACATCCACGGCTGAGGGAGCAGGGAGGAGACAGGAGAGGTCTGCTGCGCCATGTGGGTCACCTCCCTGGCTGGGGAGCAAACTCATGACACAGTAGCTGGCGATAGCTGATAGCACTGAGACTTTAACCCCTGTGCCACCAGGGAGGCCCATTGATGGGGATGATTTTTAGGAAGTGGTAGAATACCTGACACGCAGTGCTTTAGAAAAGGTGTCTTTATGTTGAGGTGTCTCTAAGGTGGAGAATAAATTCATCTCTGAGGACAGTGAAGTTAAAGCGGAGGGGAGACAGTGAGACTTGGGGAGTCATGTCCTCTGTACAGTTAACCAAACCTAGGAGTGGACGTCTGTACTGCAACCTCTTTGAAATCAGCGTCTTTTCATTTTCAAGTTATCATGAGCTCTGAGAAGCGCCAGCCACAGAGCATCGCATTGGATGTCAAGAGAAATAAGAAAATCGATACGTATTTCCATCAGGTACTGTCACATATGATGTTATGTTGAACTTTCACAGCAGCTCCTGCTGTTTCCATCACCAGAGAGGGTCATTCGCTGGTACAAGTACCCATTTCTGCTGGCATCAGCCAAAATGAGTTACAACTTGGGGACTCTGAAAATTTAGAACTAGGAATCATATGTCCTTCATTTTTTAATTGAATTTCCATTATTTGATTAATCCTCCTTATTTAATTCTTATCCCATCCTTGGCTTTTAAGGTAATGCCCTATAAAAATGGAGTTATGGATATCAAAACTGCTGTACAATCTAATGGATTGTACAGTAGTGGGGTACTAAGAATTTGAGTTCTGATAGCTACTTGATTCTTTGGTTATTTTGTGACCCTAGGAAAGGCATTAATAAGCGAAACTGCCTACCCCCTCAAGTTACCCTACCAAAAGGAAAAAAGGCCATATTTGTTATTCATAGGATTTGAGGTTTATTTTATGAGAAAAATTGGGCTCTTTGCCGGATCACTGTGGGGAGGTAAAGGTTTATATTATTAAAAATAGCTATATTTTTGAACCAACTATCAGCTAACTTGTGATGGTTTTAACCTAAGAAACAAGTTTGGTGCTTAAGAATATATTTTTGCTTTGATCATCAGCATGCTTGGAAAAAGGAAAAAAATACATAACTGAAAAAAACAACAAACAAGACCTGGCCTAACACTACAGGAGAGCCGTCAGATTTTTAAGCATCTCTGGTGTTGATGCACTTAGGGGAAAAAAAAAGTGTTTTCTCCCTTATATTCTCAGAAAAAAAAAATGTACCAGTTTAGCAGTATTAAGAATTTGACCAATGGAACAAAAAACTTGGCTGTTATTTTGGATCCTAATGTAAGTTCTGATTTAATTCTACTCATTGACCTTTTGAGATTAGTTCTGAATTTCCTAGAGAAATTCTGTGACTTGCACACTGAAAGGAGAAATAAGATGAGAGTTGCTTTTAGAGTTTTTACCTATTTAACATTTATTTTTAGGTTGACAAATTCCAGCAGAATGGTTCCAGACTTCCTCAAACATCCTATACAAAATGTCAGACGCAAAAAACTAACCTCCAGGCTCAAGGCTGCATAGACGAGGTTCCAATCCCTACTAAGACAGTGAAAGTTACTTTGAAGGGAGACCACAGGGCATATGAGGTCAAAGGCAGTGGGAGTGTTAGCTTGTACCAGATGCTCACCAGTCAGAGTGAGGCTGTCAAAGAAAAGATTGATTCCCAGAAAGGCAAAGAAATGCTGGTGAGAGGCATAGAAGGCATCGAAGGGTTTGTCAACCCAGGGATGCCCCTGAGCTGTTTCCCTGAGAACTGCCATGTGGAAATTACGTTTGTCCACAGTAGAAGTAAGCAGAATAAAGAGAATCAGGTATCTGACCGACTTGACCAGGGACCTGGCAAATGTGTCAAGTTTTACATTCATGCCATTGGAAAAGAGAGAAAAAGAATCGTGAAGCTTAGGCAACTTCACAAAAAGGGCTGCAAACTCTGTATCTACGCTTTCAAAGAAGAAACCATCAAGGAGGCCTTGTGCAAAGATGGATGGCAGATTTCTTCCTCTTCTCAAGGATCTTTACTGGAAGCTCATTGAAAACGCGGACACCATTTTAGAAAGCACACAGCTGGTAGATAACTTAGAGAAAAGGGTCTTTGAGGTGGAGTTTGACAAAAAGCCCACTAGGGCAGACACACCTGAGAAAGCTACGGCTGAGAACGCTATGTCAGCGAACAGAGAACAGTCAGAGAAGAAAACCATCACGCTGTTGGAAGAAGAACTTATGGAGCAGTACCCCAGTTTGAAAAGCGCAAGTCAGAAAATCAAAGAGAATCTTCGGAAAAATAAGAAAGAAGCCAATGCTTTTTTCAAAGTGTCTAAGACAAACTTTGGGAAAATGATAAATAACTCTATTAAGGCTGCAGACATAAAAGTTCTTTATCCACTCCTTGACTCAGTGGGGTACATAGAATGGAACAACAGCAGGGCGAAAGTTTCCGCCACCTGCTTTATTTTCAGTGGGTTGTACATTTTCACTTGCCAGCATGTATTAAATCTGATCGTGGGAGAAGGAACAGAGGTCTGCCACTGGCCATATATAATTAGTCAATTTGCACGGGTGACTTTCAATTATTACAATTCCACCAGCAAAGACAATGACTGCTTTTCCATTGATTCTTCATTTTTGATATTTGATGCGACTCTGGATTATGCTATTCTGAAACTGCAAGAGGACAGAGAAGTACCTTTGGGATTATGTCATAAAATTGATTCTGTACCACCTAGTGGATTGGTTTATATCATTGGCCATCCAGATGGAGAGGCAAAGGGTACTGATTTTTGTTTTGTGATCCCTCAGAGTCAGAGACAAAAGGAATATCAACAACGTACCCAACATGACAGCCAGAGTGTCCTCATGTACACTCGAAACAGCTTCCAAAAAATAGTTAACAACCCTGATATAATTACCTATGACACCTCCTTTTACTTTGGTTCTTCTGGCTCCCCAATATTTGATTCAAATGGTGCATTGGTGGCCATGCATTGTGCTGGTTTGACTTGTGATTTTAAAAAAGGGACTCCTAGTATCCTTGAATATGGCATATCAATGAAATCCATCCTCCGTAACATTTATCAAAGTGAAGCTGGAAGAAGCTGGCTTAATGAAATAAATTTAGATGGTTTTGCATATGTTGACTGGCCTGTACAGGATGTAGAAATGGTGAGTGTGGAGGAGGATTGAGGATGGCTTTAAGGAAATCATCTATGGAATTATTATTCCATAAGGAATGATGATAGTAAAAGTATCAAACATATGTCCTTTTCCAGAGCATAAGTTATGGTAATAGAGTTGGGAGAAGAATCCCTGGTGCTCAATATAAGATTGAGGAAGCCAGACAAGGGGTGGGAGTGTGGGGGAACTTTGAATCTGGGACTGTTACTGTCTGCATACCCAGAGCTAATCTTGAGAGTCTCCTAAAGTCTGGGAACTGCCTGCATTCTGGGAATCAGCTCTGCTCAAATAGCGCACTGGTGTGCAAGGAAGAAGAATTTTAAAAGAGGTGGCAACTTTTCAGGGTTATATGGAGAGACTCCCAAGACAAAACTCAGGAAAGAAAATATTTTTTCTGAGTGTATATCCTATATCTCTTTACCTATCACTTAGTAAAATAGTTAAAAGTGTAAGTAAAAGAAAATGCTTGGCATGATCCTATTGCTAGTGGGAGTTCATGTAAATTGCCTTGAGCATTCGCATAGGAAGGAAAAAAGACCAGGTAGGAAAGAGAAAGTCTTTAAATAATGTAGATCTCTAAGCATTTTAAAATTCATGCCATCTGGCTTCTCTCTCTCTCCCTCTCTCTCTCTCTCTCTTTCTCTCTCTCTCTCTCTAGTCGATTTTTTAAAAGTAGCTCCTTTAGAGCAAAGAAGATACAATGGAACAAAGAAAATTTGTTCAGCAAGTGGTGCTGGGAAAACTGGGAAGCTACATGCAAAAAAATGAAACTAGATCA